TTCTTTCTTTCTTTCTTTCTTTCTTTCTTTCTTTCTTTCTTTCTTTCTTTTTTTCTTTCTTTCTTTCTTTTTTCTTTTTTTTTTAAATGTATTTGGCACAGGATCTTGTAGGGTCTCACCATTTGATCAGACTTGTGATCCTCCTATTTTCTCCCAAGCGCTGGGATTTCAGATGCGCACCACCAGTCTCAAGTGCCATCTCAGCATGCCCAGGGGCCGGGCCCACATGGCAAGCTGGGGATCGAACCCTGGCTGCTGCGCTCTGCCTAAGCAGGCAGTGTAGTCTGCTTAGCTATCTGGCAGAGACCTTAGTCCTGACTTTCTTAAGATAACTACATTCACACAGTAATGGGGATCTTGCAAATAACATCATCACAGCCACTGATTTTGTTGGCTAAACATAAATCACTTGTAAGGATTTAATATTAGGACGGATCTTCCACTGTGATTATGTACATTTTAGATTCTTTCGTTTTATTTTCAGTAAACTTCTATCTCATGGAGAAACTGAATTATCAGTCATGCAACTACACTTTTGTATTCCATTAAGTAGTTTTATACTTTTTCTTCTGATGTACTTATTAGGCAAATCACTACTGCATGAGACATTTTTCTTAAAGTGCAGAAAACATTCATAGTTCCTTATGATAGTATCCTTTATTAAATGAGATACATGTGAAATAAGCGTTGATCCGGGTTGCAATGTCAAATGTGAGGAAAATTTTAAAACATTTAAAAGGATTTTAGTGACTCATTTTAAATATGGAAGAGCACAAGTATGCACAAGCAGTCATGCGTGGAAATCTATACTCATGAAGAAATTACATAAAGGTGCCTACATCGGGGAACAAGAGGATATCGTCAAATGTTTTCTATGACGAATGCATGTGCTCAGGGACAGTGGGGAATGCAATAGGTATATAACAAGAAGTGAGGATGCTTAATATGCAAAAGCCAAACAAGCTCATGAACTAACTTGTACAATGGGATTGTACAATGAGAACACAACAGGTTTTTGAGTTTTGATGCCTGGAATCTATGATCAGAGATGGATGACATTTTTTTTTTTTAAATTGAAGGTCTATTATATTTTGTTTCTACTTTATTTTTTAAATTACTGGTTAAGAATTAATTTAATTTATACACTTTGGATATACACAATGACCGCAAGCATCACAGGAAGTTTGGGCTTGTAGGTAGCACACCTTGATTCTTCTTTATTCCCCAGTCACCTCACCTGTCTTTCTCCATTTTTTCAAAGCGTTGGTTCCATTTTCCCTTCTATTTTCTTTTCTTCTTTTTCCTTCTTGCCTTCTCCCCTCCTCTCCTTTGTTCCCCTTTCAATTTGAACCCTTTCTTCCTATTTCCCAATATCTATTATACATTATATATTACCTGAAAAGGTAAATGGACTGTACTCTCAGGTGAAATAAATTGGACACACATATAAAATATGATTAAAATATCATATTGTTTCTCTGGTGTGAGGGTAAATAAGGACAAATGATTTTTTAAAAAAATTTATTTATTTATGTGTGTGTGTGTGTGTGGCCAGCTCAGCCCACCAGGCGGCGGGGCTGGCTGGCACGTGGTGCTGGGGGATTGAACTGCGGTTCCTGTGCTTTGCTAAGCTTGTTCTAAGTAGGTGCTTTGGACCACTGAGCCATCTCACCAGCCCGACAAATGATCTTTTAACTTTGAAGAATTAAGTTGCCTCGAGACAGCACGGTCAGTTGCACTCACGTTTCAAGTCTCTCACTGTCCAAGTCTGGGACCTAGAAAAGTATAATCTTTCGATGGCAAGAAAAACAAAAGCAAAAACAAAAAAAACCCGTTTATCAGACAATCTTTTCTTCAGCTTTGTCTGTGCCCTTAGTCTCTTTTTCTGTACAATAAAACTCACAATATTAACTGCTTTATGAACAAATATTTTAGAGACTAGAAAGAGGGGATGGCGTATTTTCTTCACATATTTTTCGAAGTTTTAGTTCTAATGGTGTTTGTAAATAGGATCTCATGTCCGCATCTTTTACAGCAATTAACCACTAGGAAGAATGTATGCAATGTGTTAATTATTGAAACTGTCCTACCAATTTAATTTGAAACTCTCTTTGCTATTTGTTTCTCAATACAATTATGAAAAAAATAAAATTGAAAGGAAAGCAAAAATAAATAAATAAATATAGGAAATAAAAAAATAAATAAGTATAGGAAATACTCATAAGTGAATGGAAATCCTTCATGTAATTTAATTTTGAATTGAAAATTTAAATATAGGAAATAATCATAAGACAAAGAGAAAATACGATGCACTGAGGACAATTTGCCGTTGCGAATCAGAAAGGTGAATTCGTTTTGTGGCTTCGGGACTTTCTCTTACAGGTTTTCCTGCGTGTGAATGTACCGAAGAAATTTCGGGAGAAGTCAGACAAGGAACAAGCCCTTTCCTGATAGAATCGAGTGCCCCAGCGTACACAATGAACCCTTTATCTTCCTGAGGATATTAAACCGCCTCTCCGGACTTATCAACAGGAAGCAGCTCAAGAGCCCTGAAGCAGCAGGAAGTGCCAGAAGGGTAACGGGAACTTTTATTTGCATCATGTAAGCGGACGATTAACGACATGCAAAAGTTTAGCATGGTGTTTCAGGCTTACGCTTAAAGTCTGGAAACTGAGTGCTCCATAGACGGATTCTTGCAGTAGTGAAAGATGCAAAAAGAACACAGGATTACTTACAGTGCAGGGACTTTTGTACAAGACTCATTGTATGAGATTTTCAACTATCACATGTTATTATCCTGTTGTCATTCCAATGGTTTTACATACCAAAGCCTCTTTACATATGTAAAGGAGTTACTGTTTTTCTTTTTGTAAAAGTTCACTTAAAATTCAGTGAGATGAACCAAAAAGATCCAGTTAAGGAAAGGATGTAAACTGGTGCAACCTGCCTTTAAAAACAGTTGGGATCCTGGGCCAAAGGCAAGCTGCGGGGAAACCCAGCCCATCCCTAACATCCGTGTGGGAGCAGGTTCACTGAGGAAGTTTGAAAGAGCTCCTACCAGCTGCCTTGTCTGTAAAATTGCAGCTTGTAAATACAGCATGTATACTGGCTGGGTAACATCAGATAGAGGATGTTTAGCTTTCATTTCATTGTACTTTTTAAAAGAAGAATTGCAAATGCTTCCTATCCTCTCTCTAAACATAGCTACGTGAGGACGCTTTGAAGAATCTCAGAGAGACAAACAGTCTTTGCTACTGAGAATCGCTATCATTTCCTCCTTCATTCCAGGTTATTATATTTAGCTCCCAGCTGTGAAAACCAAACACAGGAGATAACTTATACTGTTTTTTGTTTTGTTTTGTTTTGCTTTGTTTTATTTTGTTTTGCAGGGGGGACTGTTGTAAGGAACAGCAGAAAACTAAAGAAACTTGCTTTGCTGATATTTAAATTCCAAGTCCTAAGTAAATAAAGAAAAACAAAACAAGGCGTCCTCTTCCCATTCTTACAGTACTTTACCTATGGTAAAGAGACATGTAGGCAAAAATAATTTTTGTTTCATTTAAATGATCTATTGCCTTCGTGAATCAGGCTTTGCATTTATTTTTATTATTTTAATTAATTTTATTTTATTTCTTTTTTTTTTGCAGAACAGGGAATTGAACTCAGACCTTTGGACTTGCCAGGCAAGCACTTATTCTACTGAGCTATCTCCCTGGCCCCAAGAGAGCAGTGCTGATTTTTTCCCCCCAGTATCAGGGATTGAACTCAGGACCTTGTGCTTCCATGGCAGGAGCTTATTCTACTGAGCTATCTCCCTGGCCCAAGGCTTTGTATTTATATAACCCAGTGTATCTCAGCAATTTTTTTTCTTTTTAGCAGAAGTTTTTTTTTTTTTTTTTTTTTTTTTGTTTTTGTTTTTGTTTTTTTTTTTAAGCTCCGAATGCCTTCAGGGCAGGTTTGGCTGGCTTGAGTTGTGGGGATGGAACCACAGCAACCTGAGCTTGACTGTTTTGTTGAAGCAGCCACTTAAAGAACTGAGCTAAGGGGCAGGCCCCCAATTTCTTTTCTTTTTAAAAAATATTTATTTATTTTAAGGAATAAAAAAGACAACCTAGTATATCTCAGCTATTCCATATATACATATATATGTATATATCTATATATATAGATATATGAAAAAAATATATGCATAGTACAGTGTCTACAGGGTCTCACTACGCAGTTCAGATTCATAGCGCTCCTGTTTTCAGCCTCCAAAGGGCTGGGATTACAGGCACGCACCATCACAGCCATTCTTGTACGTATATTTATGACGTAGTCATCAAACAGATTTTGAAATAATTGCTATTACTATTTTATAGTGTGGAAGTTGGAGTGCTGAGAAAAGCAACCGTGGGCTACTCACTCTGGAGTGCAGACCATGAGCCCTTTGATTTGGGAGGGCAGGAAGGAAGCCGGCAGCTGTCCTTCATTGTGGGACATGCTGGGACCAGGGTCCCGAGTATCTTTTCCACTTACGCGATGTTTTAGATGCACACTTCTCCTGGGGGACTCTGCAGTCCTGAAAAAAAAAGTTCTGAGACTGCAGACAGAAACCTTCTTTCTTTCCATTTTGGAAACCCCTATCTCTGACTTCTCTCTGTCTCTATCAATCCAATAATATAATGCCTATAAGTTTAGAAAGCACACAGCAAGTCCCAGCAGACAGGAAGTTTAGAAAACCAATTTAGTTGAATTATTCAGTTATTTTAAAAAGTCAGTCAGATTTCTGTGTGGCATTTGTAG